TAATTTAAAAGATATCATAATAAAATTAACTCGTGACTTATGTAACCGATATTCATATCTTTATATGGCGAATATTTGTATGTCTTACATACACCCTTTTTTAGTAGAATATTCAGTTTTCACTTTTATTTTGAAATCACATTTTTTTGGGTAATACTAAATTTACACTGAATTTATTTATTCAAGAATAAACGGGGTCTAACAAATAAAATTCAGGAAATAATTCGTGAATTTATTTTTTATAAGGTTTAAAATGATAAAAGTCTTATCTTATGTATCTCTTGTATGTAAATGCTCGGTAAAATAAACTTAAAAAGAAAGTGTGTTAAAGCATTCTAGACGTTCAAAAATTAAGTGTCATACATTTTAAATTTAAATTATGTTGCCTGTTAGGCCGGGCTGGCGTATATATTACAGATGATAATAATTTATAAGGTCAGAAATCAACAGTTTATTCACTTTATGTCTGAAGAGAATAAAAAAAGTGATAATTAAATATCGCAGGATTTGTATTCCCTCGGAGACGGCATTTACATTGTTTTTGTGGAGAAATTAAGTAACAAAAATGATATATTTATTAATTACAACATAAAGATAATATAAACATCTTCAAGGTACCTGTTTCTTTATTGCTTGAAGCACCCCAGCCCTGGGTTGCTTCATCGCGAATAAATTTCCTATATTTTTACATAAAACTAAATTATTTCCAAGCATGTATCTCATTAAATTACAAATTAATTATTACATAAAAATGTTAAACCATTTTCTTATAATTTTCTTAGAAAAACGTATTATTCAAACTATAAAGTCTAAATTATTCACCTAAGTAAAATAACACACAGTATTCATTTAATATTTTAAAACGTTGAGAAAAGTGTACAAAATCTCAAAGCGTTCTCCAGTCGGGGACTTGTAAAATAAATAAACGGACGTAAACACGTAGGGTTGTAAAAGCTTTACTAAGAATAGAGTCAAAGGCTAAAGATAGTCATTATATCACTTTTCGCTTTAAGTACCATGAGTTGTAGTTTCATTGGGAAAGCACAGGTTAGCGTTTGGCTATCTCCGTCAAGCTTACAGATTGGAACAGCGAACTCACTCACGGAAAATCATATAAATACGCGAGATTTCGTTCAATCTTCAATCGTGGTCACATCTCTGACAACCCTAGGCAATACGCCTTGATTCTTAGGAATCGGGAAAGAGGATATTGTTCCGCTCTCCGTGTCTTAGCTGTACTTCAGGTCATATCTCTGACAGCCCTAGGCTGTCAACATGGAGACGAGTAACTCAGGGGTTACTCAAGAATCCGGGGGAGTAGGTCCCGCGGAACTCTCCGTGTATACAAGAGTTGGTAAGGATAGCATTTAAATAATTTTTATACCGAGGTGCCATTTTCGCTGTACGCGTATTCATTAAATTTCATTAAAGCAATCAACTCTGAATATCAGGCCTCAGTAACTGTTCATGCATCTGCTCACCTCAGTGTAGTTCAGGTTTAAAAATAAGACAAAGTAAACAATGAATAGAGTTCAGTTGAATCTGCAATGTAGGTAACTTTATCAATTTTCGCTCCATGTATGGGAACCCGAGCGTGGATCGTTAGATGGGTACGGCTAGGCAACAATAACACCACATGCTAAGTTCAACCCACCCTTTGAGGTGTTGACCACCGGGCCTTGTCTCTCGACAGAGGGTCCAGTAGCCGGCATCCAGGGAGGACCGTTAATGTTTTCTGACCACAGCTGCCGTACGCGTGCCGTAAATGCGGTTAACGCCTGCCAACCACTACACAAAACTCTACGGGGTAGTTCGGTTCATCTTGGTTTAAGCCTCTGGCGGGATGAATTTCCGCACTCCAACAAACGCGGACAGTTGTCTGCCATATGTCGTGGTTTCTCAGATGCATCGAATATTAATTGGCAGCGTTAGTTGTATTTATAGTACCGTAGTACTGTAGCAACTAGTCCGCGAGTTAAATTAAAGCATGGTTATCTACGTCCGGCCGTCTTATGTGACTGAGGACGTTCTGTCACCTCATACAAGGGAAGTTTCTCTAGCATCCATATGTAAGGTTTTACATAATATGTTATTTAAACTACGAAGCGGAAGTTTCCGCGCATATAACCAGTTTTAGTTGTATTGCAGGTCTAACTAGCTCAAAGGTCATGTAGTTCTTGCGGACAATTGTCTGCCATATGTAGGGTTCTACATATGATATTTCCACTACGAAGCGAGAGTTCCCGCGCAGTCAACAAGGATTTGTTGCACTGCATGTTCAGTAAAATGTAATATCTTTCTTATAGACAGTTGTCTAAGCACAGAAATAAATGGTGTGAAAACTTTATTTGAGTTTCCTTAAATTATTTCTTCTTTCAGGTATAAAAGTGAATTCTAAATAAATCAGTAATAGTAAATTTAAAGTCAAATCTTACTTATATTAATCATTCTTTCAAACATATATCAGTGCAGTGCAATTAAGGTTCATAATAATTGGTAAGAGTAGGTAATCAAATTAGAGCGAATTAAATCTCATAAACGAAACAAAGTAATACCAAACTTTATAGATGTATCTGAAAGGTTACAATAACCCAACAAAATTTGGGTCTTACCACTAAAACTAGACGATCACGAAAAAGTATTACCTGTCGCTTCATGACAAGGTGAGACTTATAAAAATGGGAAGCAATTACTTAATCAAATTAATAAAATGAGAGTATCTACAAGAGTAGATATTCGACACAATATAACAATAAAATAATAAGGGGGGGGGGGTTGGGCCGTTACATGCTATTCTGGGACAGGAATACCAAATCCTCCATTGTTTAATGATAATCTAGGTGTTTTTACCAACTTGGGTTTTCAATTATTGCCTCGCGATAAATTTATTAATGACAGGATAGTTACAACAGAAGGGCACTGAGAATGTGGAAATATTGAGGAGCTGCCTGTTCACTTTGACTTTAATTGAAGAAAATAAGATTCGGGTAAATCATGACTGGACAATAAACTCTGTAACTTTGCTCTTCGCTGAAAAAAAAATTGACAAAGTAACGTCCTCTGTTATCTTAACACTTATATAACGTCGGACTGTTTACAAGATCAATCGCCGACGCTAGGAGATAAGTGCTTGTGTAAGCACTGACACCTTTAACCTGGAAATTTTGCCGAACCTCCACTTTGACGTGAGGTAGAATCTAAATATTTTATGTGCTCACATCTGTTATACGTAATCCACAGTTTTACGTTCATTTCGAAAGATAGTGAGCAGGTCTGTACCTCATCGTTTTGGGCCGGCCCGGTTTTGCACCCGGGTAATTTGGGTGGAAGCACGCGCCACTGTTCCTCCATCACCAAACCATACGTTCTCCAATTACGATGTTTAATTTAAAAAAAAGGTACGAGAAATTAACAGGTTATTAAAAAATAAGTGTTGTGTGACTTTCTTCAAAAACATTCCCACCCAAGTAACAATTTAGATGCCTTTTAGATTAGTCTAAGTTTTATCCGTGCCTTATAGTAGCCAGCTCGTAAACTAGTGAATTATGCCAGATTTATTATATGCCAAGTGAACTTAAAGACGGTTTTGTCTTAATGAATGTTTTAAAAAGGCCTTTAAGCACACACCAGAACTAAATTATCTTTTAGTCTTTATTGGCCTATGACGGACTTATCAAGGGATTTGTCAAGCCTTTAATAAAACTGTAAAGTTTTATGATTATCTTATTAATGTCGGGCTCTAAATCTACTATGCTTCGAGGTCACTAAGTTTCAGATCGATTGATTTCGTTTCATTTTTTCCAGAAAATGATGTTTTAAAATCACTAATGAAACCAGCGGATTAGATAAAAAACGGGGAAAACATCACTAGTAAAACTAACAGATCAAGGGAATGTAGCAGTAGATTTATTTGCATTTATGTTTTCGTCATTAATAGTGCACAAAACGTTCGTTCAAAGCATTTGTTTGTGCCTTTTAAGTTTTAATATGGTGCTTACCCTAAACTAAGTAGTTTTATAATACCTCTTAGATACTCTATGAGTAAAGATTTTGATTATTCATTAAAACTTGAAAGTTTTCGTAGTAATTTTAAAATGAGGAATGTGGACTCTTCTCTAGGTGGACCTCTGTACTATTATAAGGATTTTAAATCAGTTTTAAAGAGTCCTTCCAGACTATTTACGTTTATAAACAGTCTTAGAAATAGGCTTATACTGAATCCAAAGTGTTGTCAGTAGAGCAAAAATGAGCGGTATTTTTATCAAAGTAGCAGGTATATTGAAATTAAGTGGCACCCTTGCCGACTACGTTTAAGATTATATGGTTTTGCCGCCTATACGACATGAACAGTAGACTGAGCAGTGGCTAAATCTACTGACTACATTTTTTGGATCAGTATAGAGGGCATCTTATAGAGCATTTTAAAACTAAAATGGTTACTTGGGTGAAATATATTTCGTTGAATTTTTTAAAATAACTCTAAAACGATTTTATGCATATTTTCCATCTTTGGGATTTATTTGTTTTATGTTAGAAATACCTTCTTGAAATTCTATTCACCTTAACATATATAGATGGAACAAGAACCATTTAAAAAAGTTCACCACCATTTGTTTGATATTTTTTGAACACCCCCAAATTTTCTTAGAAAAAATATTGTAAATTTCTGATATTTTTATAGTCAAAAAGTAAATTGAATGTAAAGGATTCTTTATTACCTTATTTTTTATTTCTAATAGATCTCTTTTACGCCACTGCATTTAGCTACTTTTATAGTGAAATATAACTTATTAATTATAACTAATATAATGTTTTATTAAAGTGTTTTTTTAACCGCCTCTTAAATCACCAAAGTAACTCCCAGAAAATCCTAGGATTTTGTGTTGAGTAAAGAGAGACGAGGCCCTACAGTTTATTGTGGAGTCCGAACCACATTTAGGGCATCGCCAATTTCCTCTCCCATCTTGGTGTGAAACAAATTACAAATAAAATTTCCAACTTGCTCCAGGATGGAATCGAACTATTAATATTTGGTACCAAGTAAATAGGCTATAAGCCAAACGCTTTACCCACTGGGCTACACCATGCCCCATTATAGTGAAATATAAGTAATCTAAGACAAACTTATATATCAAGTTACGTGTGTAACTTAGGTGAGTTGCTTAACATATTATTTTCCTTATGAATTATTTGTGCAGTTATATAATTGTAAACACTGTGATTTCTATTCAATAAATTTCTATTCTATTCTATTCTTCTATTCTAAAACGATTTAATGAATCGCATTTATTAAAAAATGCCGAATGTTTGATAAATCGAAAATAAATAGTAAAGAGCACTATTTATTAAAAATAATTAGGATTCAATTTTTTTTTGATAAAATGGATTATGTTCTTCATATCTACGCCAACATGAACTAAATTTTAAGAATTTTATAATCCTTTAGGCTTTAATTTAAAACGAATAATCTCCAAATATGAAAAACATCTGTCAAACTATTATGCAACGGAAATTAGAAAAAAAAAAGTGTTCAACGCTTCTTAGAAATTAGATTAGTGTCCCTCAAAGTTCGCAGATTTTACATTTAGAAGTACCTTTTTTATTTTGATTAACTTTCCCCAATAAAATTTTTTCAGATATTCAGTAGAACAAGTACTTTTGGGAAAATTTGCTTAATTATTTCGACTCTCATGATTTCAAAAATTAAAAACATATTAAAAATAATTTGAAGCCAAACAACACGACTTTTGGTTTGTTTTCGAGATATTCACATTTTAAATATATTTTTTTTTGCAATTTTTAAGTACTTCCGATTTGATTGCAAATGGTATGGTACCTATATTGTATCCAACAAATTTAATCGAAATTTGTATTTTCCCTATGAATTAATCGCTTTATCTACACGGCAGATCCACAGACAAAAAAAAAACATTTTTCGCGCTGTTAATCTTCAATGGAAGATAAACTTACTAATCAAGATACTAATTAAATTTTTTAAACCATTTTTGTAAATAGTTCTTATTCATAATAATGCAAACATGTAATATGGTGTTTAATTGAACTTTATGTTATTATATTTGTGATAAAAATATTAGGTATTTATTTTTGTGATAATTTTCTTTTGAATAATTCAATAATGTATAACGGATTTTCAATTGGAAATTGTGAAAAGTAATCAACAAATATTTTAATATACAGTGTTTTTTTATCTATTTATGAACATCTCGCAATCTTTTTTTTCTAGCTCAAATTTATAATAAACGACAAATCTCAAAACGACTGTTTCCACTGCATAATAGTGCCGACATTTGAGGCCACATAATGCGATAAAAAACTTATTATTTTTCATAAATCATAGTAAGAGCAACATAATAGTCATATTAGCCTTCCACAACATAAAGAATTTATCACAGTAGGCTGATGGTTCAAATGAGAATCTGTTATGGAAAATTTAATTTCAAATTTTACAATGGAACCAAATAACACAATTTCACATTTGGTAATATCTTGATTTGTGGAAAACCTTCTGTATCCCTTTATTGCAATAGGTTGGTGTTTCAAATATGAGAACTGCCATATTAGGAAGTTGTACATTCGAGAAAATTTATAAGTAGAAAAATAAAATATACCGTATATAAAAATACTTAAAGAATCTTTGAAAATACACACAATTTTAGTTGCGAACTAATCACTAATCAGTAGAGTTGGCATTTCGAACCGCAAATCATGGACGGTGACAGATAGAGAAATACCCAAGTATGTAAGCGAGACTTGTTAATTAATTTTTAGTCTACTGTTATGCGTCGAGGTGTCAATAATATAATTTATTTCTCTCCTTGTAGATAATTTTATTTTTGTATTTCATTCTTGATATTAATTTAATAATAAAGTATATCAGACCTGCCCAAGGGTAAAAAACAGCCATATGCTGACAAAGTGAATAAATTTATCAGCGAATTCCCGGATTTACTCTACAAGGGTGCTATAATAATTTGTAAGGTGTGCGAGACTGACCTGATGTGCTGCCTCAAACGTGATTGTAAACGTTACGTAAATTCTGTGCAATATAAAACTAAAAAAATGGCGACAACATAGTTTATGTTCGATTTATTCTTAATGCTGATTGCCTGTGATGTTCCGCTGCACATACTCGATAAACAACTATTTCAGGAGTTCTGGAATAAATACAATCCCAAGGTGACGTTACCAAGTCGCACAACGTTGCATAACTATGTACCAACTGTAAGCGAAGACATTGTAAATAATATCAAATATGTACTAAAAAAATACACAGCTGTGATTATGTGTTGACGAGACGACAGATTGTAAAAAAAATTCTATTGTAAATGTTATAGTACGTGTACTGGACCCTCTTAAACCAACATTTCCACTGTTACTAGCTAGCAAAAGGCTAACTAAGTGTACTGGCCAAACAATTACGCGGGTGGTGCTGGAGACGTTAGAAAAATTTGACCTGTCATAAAGTCAAGTGTTGATGTTTGTGACCGACGGTGCCGCAACAATGCGTTTAGTAGGCCGTTCTCTTCAAGAACACGGTTGTAGGTTAGTACATGTTACGTGTAAAGTGCATGCTTTACACCTTGTGGCAGAAACTATTCGACAAGGTTTTGCAGAGGTAGATGCATTAATAACAAGTACTAAAAAAGTGTTTCTTAAATCTCCTAAACGTCTTCGCGCATTTCATAGCAAGTGTCCCGGTATTCCCGAACCACCACAGCCGATTCATACACGTTGGGGAACATGGTGGAAGGCTGCATTTTATTATGTTGAATATTTACAACAAATCAAAGCTGTGATACTATAATTCAATCCAGACGAGGCTGCAGCTATCAAGAACAAAATTCGAGGATGTTTCTGTTGAAACAGCTTTAAAAACTATTCACAAGAACTATAAAGGGTTACATGACGCCATACAAATCAGTGCGTTGTCGTTAGCGGAGTCACTGCAAATAGTGGACGAAGTAAATCGACTGCTACACGTTATAGGTGACACAAATAATGAGCTCGTTGGAGAAAAGTTCGCAGGTATGTTAAAGCAAAACACCGGTTTTACCAGATTAAGACAAATTTGTGATGGTACTGATGGTGCATCTGCATATCCATCAAGTGAGTTCAAAGACTATTTTAAGTATACTTGTATTACATCAATAGATGTCGAACGGTCGTTCTCAAAATATAAGCATATTTTTTCACCATATTAAGTATTACTATCGAAGACAACCATAGAAACATACGTCATGCTGCAAAGTTTTTACACATCTTTTCCAGTTTGTGATAACCAAGCTAGTTAAGAGGGTAAGTTGTGCATACATTGTTATAAATTGTAACAGTTTATTGCTTTTATTACTAATTAATTTTTTTTCTTACACTTATTATGGTGCGTACGCCTATGTCCTGCGGCGCATTTTTGCCAACTCTACTAATCAATTTTTGAATAACAATTGCATACAGTTTTAACTAAATCTAGCACTTGAGGCACTTTAATTTGTTAGAATACAATTTCGAAATTATACATAATATTTTTTATATTGTGTTCAATTAATTTATTTACTATACTACCAAACTTAAACTATCATATTGCTCTGTTACTTACCCTAAATTTATTCGATGCGGGAATAGGCTTTCCAGCAACTTCCCATTGTATTTTTGGATGATCACCATTGGAACAATAAACTCGAACGCAAAAGGATGCGTTACCACCCTCAGTTGCAATTATGGGGGATGGGTGTTTGATAAATTCAATTTTAGGAGAATTATGGGTCTTTTCTGAAAATTAAAAAAAGTGTAAGTATTTAACCTGTCAGCAGTGAATATTTAATAATTTTTAAGTATTCTTTAATCATACATTTGCTAAACAAATTCAGGTTCAGTTTTCAATGTACTTATGAATTTATTATACAGCTTTTTACTCTAAATGTATCCCATGTTGTATTTAGAAATTACTGCAGCAAATTACTACAGTCAAGGTGCTATTGAACCTTTGTGACTTCTTTTCATGTTTATTTGTATATAATTTAAGAATGTTTCTGTTTTATACCAACTACTTTGTAATTCTCTTTCCAAATAAACATGTTATTATTATTATTATTATTATTAATTAGGAAAAATTCTAAATGTAATATTTCCTGTCTTTGGTTATAACTTTTCAACTTTTGAATCGGCTCCAAGCATTTTTATAAATGAACAGTTTTTTCCCTTTTTCTTATATAAAGCCCATTTTTGTTTTTCGTATCTTAACTGAATTTTGAGATAACATAAGGAACACAAAATAAATCCATTTGATGCTGAGCGGTAAATTAGTTTCCGCAAAGATTTTACATTTTTAGGTGAATTTTATACCTATAGATAATAAATAACCGGTCGTCTGCTAGTGTCTAGGGGTTTCGAGTTGATGAAATTAGTTTAACTTTGTTAAAAACATATACACTATTAGGCCAGTGAATAGGGAAAAAATTTAACATTAATTCTAACATTTTTGAAACTTTGTCATCTGTTGAAGTACCAACCAAAAGAAAACTATAAAATTTTGCAACTCGATTCAAGGTCGGCAACATTGTTAAAATCGCGAAAAATTAAATTAAGCAGTATCTCGACAAACAAAAATTTACCACCGCTGCAAATTTGATATAATTTGTATTACCATAATCAAAATATAAAGCTACATTTGCAGCACCTTATGACCCGAGCATAATAATTAATTATCAATAATTAACATTTTTGCATCAAATATTTCAAACATATTATTAACATTCTTGCAAAACTACAGTGTTCCTGCTAAAATCGCCTTACAGGACTATGAACATTTAATAACGTTTATAGAGTTCGATGTAAAATTTGCAGTGATATTAATTTTATTTTGATAGTAAAAATTTTGCAACAAATTATTTGTTGCAAATTTTATCAATCTGCCGACGTCTGGGATTGCTGCAAAATGGAGAGCGCATTTCAGTTACGAATGCGATCATTTGCAATCCACCTGTGCATATGTTATTATTTTTTGGAATCTATTTTAGGTAAATGATACTCTACAAGTTGTAAATTGTAAAAAAATGTACCACGCCG